AACAGGACCCTTTGAATTGGAATCTGGGAAAGCTTTTTAAGCTGTTGATGATAGGGTTAAGTATAAGACATTAGAGACTTACAGTAGCTGGTCATACTAGCATAAGACAACAAGGGATCAGCAGAAGGTTATATACCAGTAGACACTGATCTGCCAGTGATCATCCCATGTGGGGTCAGTTCATGTTTTCCAAAGAGGGCACTGCAAACAGTTGGCGAGATCAAAAATAATACCTTGGGCCAGGGAGTCCGGTATATAGGTATTTAACAAAACCTCAAGACAATTTACAGGACTAGAATCCAACATCTACAAAGGTGCAACATAATTTTTCTCTACACAGTTACCCGAACTTTTGTTAACCAAAGATAATCACAGTAAAACTGATTTGTTTATATTAAAAACTTCATCTGATTATTTCTGTAAGTGAATATAAGAATACTCACTGAGAGTTTCTGAATTCTGGAGGGATCAGGTAGGGAGAAAAAGTAAATATTTCATCTTTGTTCACAAAGGTATATCTTAGCAAATTGTAGATAGCTTAAGAGAAAAGATTTCTTTAAATCTGGAAAAACAAAACATTAGAGCATCCTCCTCATTTATGTAGTCCCATGTAATTAATATTGGTTTTTGATCTTTTGTTAGAGATTTTATGAAGCCATCAGTCTCTCCATTAGAATTCTGTAATTTCTTACCCAGTTCAGTTTTATGATCTGAAACTTTATCAGAAACCTGTATTCTGGAGTAAGGGTCAGAGTCCTTTCCATAACTCTCTCTGAAGATGAAACATTTCTGCAAAAGCATCAGAGTAAAACAATATCTATAGATGACAAAAGACTTAAAGTAGCATGGTTAAAGATCTGATTACAATGCAATTAACAAGGAAATTTGGTTATTTCTGGGACATATAACATTTTAAGATAATAACTAGAATTACAAGTGATAATATTATATGAGGACATATTAGAATTTTAAAAATTTCATATAATTTCTAAAACGTTTATATTAATAATATTCACCCATACAATATAACCTAGAAAGGTTTATCATCACTTATTTGACAATGCTTCCCATGCAATTTAACATACCAAACAAGCCTGATTAGTTTAATATTTCCTGTTTTATAAGAAGAGAGAACAAATTATTTGAGAAGTTCCAGGGATCTTCTGGAAATTCTCAAAGTTACTTTCAGGTCAAAAGAACGATTTTGTTTAGGATTTGAATTTTTGGGAAGTTTGTCAAAAATATCAAAATGTTTTAAAACATTTGGTCAAATAGGATCATAGGTCACTGTGAAACAATGCTTAGTTATCCATTTAACCAAATTGACAACAGAAGATGTTAAAGGCAAACATAGAGAGTTAAACAGTTTAAAAAAAAACAAACTTAGCTCTCAATAGAGAGACTTCAGCATTTTGAACATAGGAAATTATTTGGACAAAACATAAAATTTCTGCCTTTTATGTAGACTTACTCAAGGGTAAAGAAAAACCTTTCATAATCTCTTTATCAAGAGCAGACTAAAAGTCCAAGGAAATTAACCTTTTGAGAGAGAAAACCAAATTCTTATTTTGCACCAGCTTACTTTTGATATTAAAACTCATTTACTTAATTAAATTCATTTCAATCTTAGCCAACCTATCTATGCACAAAACTCTTTTCTCAGGGCTCCTCTTCCACAAACTTTCTTTTTTACATCCAGAATTTGTTCTTTCTTCTTCCCCATAACCAGTTTCACTTTAGGACGAATTTACTTTCTTAACAAAACAAACAAAAATATCTCCATTACTTATACCTTCTTTACTGAAAACATACATCTTACTTTCCTTGTATACAGAGATGTTTACCTTATAAATTTTTAGTAGCTTTAATCACATATATTAATTTAGAATTCTTATCCCTTAAGGCTTCTAGCCTTAATTTTTAGTAAAAACTAAGAAGTAAGCAATTATGAACCATCTTTAACGTTGGCATTCTATGGATTGGCAGACTTTAAATACTATATAGAAATGTGCTTTCTCATAGAAAATTTCTCAGCATGACACAAAACATGTTTATTAATAAACCCAAATATTTTAACTTTTTCTCTAATAAGAAGCTGTTACCACCCAACGTAGGGCCTTCTACTCGCCACAAGACATGCCAATAGTCAAGAGGCAAGGTGGTAGAAGAAAATGGACTTTTTATTACAGCTTGCTAGCAAGAGAGAAGATGGCCGACTCATGTCCAAAACAACCATCTTAAGGGGGCACAAAATCTTACAGCAGTCATATGGGCCAGTGGGTTATTGGGAAGGGGGTTAGGAATGTTGACCTTCTGGTGTTACACACTGGGAGTGCCACACCAGATCTTTCAGTTTTCACTGATGATGGCTATCAGCATAGATTCTCTGTTCAGGGGTCATCACATTCCTAAGGAACTCAAAAAAACAAAGTTATCATCTTATCCCAGCTGGGAGGTACATGCACAAGTAGGGGTCGTGAAATCTACAGAGCAGTTAGATCTCCTGGAGGGTGCATATCCGGCTAGGTTAGTTTGTCAGAGCTCATTCAAAGTTACAATAGAGTTTTTCTTTTCTACAATATGGCTTCCCTTATGACAACCTTGTCTTGAGCTGGTATCAAAGCCAAAAATAGATAAACCTATGTTTATTAATTAATGTCTAATATTTTATCTTATTTGGAAATAATCTAGATACTCAATAAATTTCTATCACTTAATTTCGCAAAACTCTAAGGTTTCAAGTTACCAAAACGTTTTGAAGATATTTTTAAGTACATATACCATAAGACATAATTATTGTTAAAAAGTTCACCTAAAAACCCTTTAATCTTACTTACATCTATTTAGTTTACTTGTTCCCAAAAATTATGTTTAGATTATCTACAAAAATTTCATGAGTCAATAGACAAAGTCAGCCATCAATTTTTTGCTGCCAAATTTTATAAAAGAGATAACATAAATTTGCTTGGCTTTTGGTAAAACTAGGTAGAACAAAAGTTGTACATTTAATGCTTACAACTCTAAAGATAACAAACTTAAATTAGCTTTAATACTGAATATTTTCCTAGATCATGTGATCCTGAAATTCACTTGGATTAACTTCTATTATATTTAGAAATAATTTATATAAGTGCTTATTTTAAGCCAACTAAATAGAGCTCTTTTAGAAATTATACCATCCACAGGTAGAAAAATATCACATACATATAGCATACATATATATAGACACACATACATAGACACCCCATAGCTATTGTTTTAAAATGACTGCCATGAATCAAGTACCGTAATACAAAGCTCACTAGTTATGAAAAATAATTGAATTGAAATTTCATTTCTGCAGATGGAATAAATTAAGGTTATCTGCTTAGATGGCAAAAGCTTTTTTCTACATTAGTGGACAAGACACTTAAGATGCTAGATTTTGGATAAGGGGGCTTCTACAGCAGACTGACTCTTTTTCTTTGTTTTTGTTTTTTTTAATCTTCAGTCTCAGAAGTTGGTGATGGTCTAGATAACAGTTTCCAGGGAGGTTACAAGCCTTTTGAGATAAATAAGGGAGTCTTTGGGGATTGGTGAAAGGGAATGGGTGGAATATGAACTACTTCTAGAGCTGCATTTCCAGTTTTGCAAAGATTTGTAAGATAAGGACAGTTGCTCTCAATTCCTCAGAAATTGGGTTGTAACTTAAATGATATCATAAGTTGATCTACCCATCCAACTACATCATCCCTAATTTGCTTCTTTCCCTCTGGTACCTAGTTTTATTTTAACCTAAGGAAGAAGGCTGATTAAAAAAATTCCTAACAGGCTCTGAATATCAGCTTCCAATTTGGCAAAATTTCTGATCATAAATTACTAAATCCTTTCAAATATCTTGTCAAGTTTGAGCCTGGACAAACAGTAAATATTTCTGGCTGTATTAAACAACTCATTAATTTTTAATTTTAGTTTCCCATTGACTATTTAAGGGATTATGTAGCAGTTTACCAGAAAATCTCTCAGTCTCATTAACTCTGGGAAGGGCTCATACAGGGCCCTCCTTCAAAGGTAGATACCGGGGCGTCTGTAAAGGCATCAATTTAACAGACTATTGTGTAGTCTTTTGTTTTAGGTACCTTTTATATCTTGATTTTTCATTAGCTTTTTGTAATGAAACTTTCAATAAGGCTATTTTGGGATTTTGAAGGCTTTGTCTTTAAGTGCACTTCATAAATGATCTTACATAATTGGAACATTCCTTCTAATGGTCAATGTAATTCTCCTGAGGCTGGCAGCAGTTTAGTAGAACCCTAGCTGCAAATGGAGTTTAACCCCCATTTCTCTCCAGCCATATTTGACTGCAAATGGGGTGCAACCTGCATTTCTGTTTGACCATATTTTGGGGCCTCCAACCTGATGGTTACCAAGCCAAGCTCTCAGAACACAAAACAAACTTAGTAAGATTTTGCTGTTCTTTGTAAATATTTACAGCTTCTGAGACCATAGTTTTAAGCAGGTGTATTGGAAGGCGGCACGCTGGACTCTTTAGAAATTAAAGATTTCATTTAATTTGTCTGGTTGGTGGTTCTCAACTCTAGTGTGCAAAAAGACAAGTTTTGGAAGCTCAAAGGAGCCCCAAAGTCGTCACTGTAATTTTAAATCATCTTTTTGGACAGCTCCCTGCTTTCTGCGCCGGAGCCAGGCTTGCGGAATTCAGGGGCGCTGGGAGGAGTCGAGCGGCGGGGCAGGGCGGGGGGCTGGAGGATCGGGGTGGGGCGGGGATGCTGTCGTCGAAGGTGCTGGGCGATCGCCGGGCGGAGCGGAAACCAAGGGGTTGGGCGGCGCCTTACCGCGCAGACCGCTCATCCCCGCCCCGCGGCAGGCCTCTCACTCCAGGGGCGGGGCCGGGCGCCGGGGGCGGGGCCGGCCGGCCTTTGGAACCCCGTGTTCGGGGCGGGGCCGGGCGGAGGTGGGGCGCGCTCCCTCGGCGCGGGGCGGGTGGAACCTCAGAACCCCGGCGACTCGGGGCGGCGGGCGCGGGCGCCCGGCGCGGGGTTCCTCCCACGCAGCCTCCCATTCAAACGATGCCGAAGGGGCGGCGCGGCAGTCAGAGCCCCACGATGAGCCAGCGGCCCGCCCCGCCCCTATACTTCCCGTCCCTCTACGACCGCGGCGTGTCCTCGTCCCCGCTCAGCGACTTCAACATCTGGAAGAAGCTCTTCGTGCCGCTGAAGGCGGGCGGGGCGCCGGCCGGTCGGGCCCTGCCCCAGGCGCCCCCGGCCCCAGCGCCCCCACCGCCGCCCGGCCTGGGGCCCCCCAGCGAGCGTCCCTGCCCCCCGCCCTGGCCCTCCGGCCTGGCCTCCATCCCCTACGAGCCTCTGCGCTTCTTCTACTCGCCGCCGGGGCCCGAGGTGGCGGTGTCGCCCCTGACCCGCGGTCCCACGACCCCCGGGCTCGCCTCTGCCTCTCACCCCGAGGAGCTGTGCGAGCTGGAGATCCGGATTAAGGAGCTGGAGCTGCTCACCATCACTGGGGACGGCTTTGACTCCCAGCGCTGTGCGTGACCTCGCTGGGGCCACCTGAGCCCACCCCTAGCCTGCCTTGGCTCCCTCCTTGGCTCCATGCTCCCCTTATCCCTTCCCCTGCAGTGTGGCCTGGGCTCAGACTCCAGCCTCCAGGAGTCCCAGATCCCAAATGGATAATCGATCTCCCAGAACCCAGACTCCCCCATCCTGGATTTCAACCGACTCCTTCCCCTACCACAAATCTGGACTTCACGGACCCTTTGGTCCCAAACTCATCCTCCCTCCATCCTGAGCGATTTCGGTAGTCTGGAGTCTGAGCCTCCAAACCTGGAACTCCATCCACACCACAACCCCCATCCTGAACTTTAAGCCTCCAGCATGGTAATACTCCCACCCCTGGGGCTTCACTCACGGGATAGCCCCTATCTCTAAAGACCTGAGCTAGAACACTTACCTTAAACTGGGGTCCTCGATGAAAGGAAGAGGGAAGTAGGTTAGGATCAGCTGGAGTGTCTTACCGGGAGGTGGGAATTGTGCAAGACCCAGAAGGCCCTAGGACGTTCTCTGAGGGGCTTTGGGCCCCTCCATGTCTCAATGCTGGAAGGTAGCCTCCCTCTGACCCCCAGCTCTGGCCCTGGTAGCCCTCTCACTAGGGTCCTGGACTCTGCCACCTGATCTTAAGTCTGAAGTCTTAGGGATCTGGACCAGGGCAGACCAGGTGTGCTGATGTGGGCAGGGGTCCTCTAGCACGCAAGCCAACTGATTCCTCCCTGTTGGAGAGTAAAGTTGTTCAATCCGATTCAACTCCTAGAAAGACCTGTTGCACTGTAGAATGTTCAGTAGCCATAGACTGTTCTGTAGACTTTGTTCTGGCTAAGGCTAGCACTTGACCACCGGAGGAGGGCAGATGGTTTTAGAAAGACCATCCCCACTATTATATAAAACAGGTTAAATTGGTCCCCCTGCCACACAGGGAGGGGGAGTAACCTAAACGTTTAGGTCCATGTGACCATGGGTATGGTCCCCAATCCAGGCACCCTGTAACGTCCCCACAGTCCCCAATTCACCAGGCACTCTATAATGTCCCCTTCCCCACAGCCTTGGGAAGAAAACAAACCCCAGAAAACGTGGGCTTTTCTAAGAAGTCCTGGATTTCTCAGCTATGCATCCTCCACTTACATGTGTTTTGGCTGTGGGGTTTCTTCCGCCCATCTTGGATCACGATGGGTCTGGCGCTTGTGGAGGGAGCGCACAGTTGCTCCCCAAAGCCTGCTTCAGAGTGTTAGAGAAAGCCCTGATCTCTACCACAGCTGTTTATTTTGCTCTCCTGCAGATAACTTCTTGAAGGCGCTGAAAGATGAAAAGTTACAAGGACTGAAGACCAGGCCTGGAAAGAAGTCGGCCTCTCTCTCCTGAGGAGCTGCCCAGCAGAGTCTGGGCGGCCACCTCCTTCGGTGTTAGTGCTTAGATAATGTCTCCTGTTTGTTGTCATTTCAAAGATCGTTATTTTCTGTTCTGTATTTACTGCTGTTCTTGTTGCTCCCAGCACGTACTTCACATACAGTGCCCACTTGAGTGGTAAAGCTCCTGGTGTCTCTCCTCTCTATGCCGCTGCTGGGGGAGCTCTCTCCTGGGGTCTGGAAGCTGCTGCCTGGCTGGCATTCAGGGGCTCCCAAGACCAGGGGAGGGGACCCTCCCAACACTGCTAAGTCATGAGGGAACTGGGAAAAACTAAGGGCAATATATATTTGGTTCTGTTGCTGTGTGCCTGCTCAGAAAGGCACTTTGAGGCCTGGAACAATGGTTTGTCTGTTCTCAGACAGCTTTAGTACTTGGAAGTGTTTTATGTTTTTAATGGTTTTTGGACCACAAAACTCTTTTGATAATCTGATCAAAGCCATGGTCCTTCCTAGAAATTCATATATTCAGGAAATATTTATTAAGTGCCACGCACTCTGCTAGGCTCTTGGGGTTGGGGATGGAGGAGACATGGAAAATAAATATTATAAATAAGTAAATCATAATATGGTATCCTAGAAGATGACATGCTAAGGGGAAAACGAAAAGAGGAGGGTGAGGTGGTCAGGAGGGCCGCAGCAAAGCAGAGTGGCATTTCAAGTAGGGTTCCTTGAAGAGGTAACATTTAAACAAGGTTTGAAGAAGGTTGACCATGATAGCCACATGGCATCCTGGGGGAATGTTCCAGGCAGAAGGGCCAGGGCAAAGGCTGAAGGTGGGAGCATGCTGGGCTGTTTAAGGGTCAGCAAAGAGCCCAGCTGGCTGGAGCATGAGGAGTGAGGTGAGAGGGGTGGGGTGAGTGCAGAGAGGGGCCATACGGTGGGACCATACAGCCATGGGAAGGACTGTGGGTTTACTGAGTGGGATGGGGAGTGGTTGGTTAGAGGGTTTTCAGGCTCTGACTTGTGCTGCTGGGTGGAGAATTATGAAGGAATCAGGGAAAGCAGTTGGAAGGTTGTAGTAATTAATAATCTAGCTAAGCAAGAAGCCAGAGCACAGCTCCAGCTTGCCTTCGTCCTTGCTGGGTGAGAGGTGTCTACGGGGTCCCCGCTACTCCCGCCACTGCCCCGCTGCCAGGTGCTGGCTCTGTGGCGAGGAGGAGGAGCCAGAGCTCAGTGACACAAACACACAAATGAAGGATCTTAGGAAACAAATCTTCAATCAAGTATAACATTCTGATGCTTGGCATCTAGACTTCCTTGTGCCCTCATTCTGCCAGCAGCAACTATAGGGCATAGCCAAAGAATTTGTGAAGTTTGGGCTTTTTGCAAAGTAGAATGAAAAGGAGTGACCCTTGAGTCAGGTGTCTTAGAAGCCAAGTGAAGACAGTGTTTAGGAGCAGGGAGTGGTCAGCTCTAACAAGTCTTGCTGATGGGCCAAGGAAGATGAGCCTGAGGGTGCACTCGGGCTCAACACCATGGGTTTAGTATTGGTGATCTTGTCAAGAGCAGTTTGGGTTGAGTGATGGGATTAACACCTGATGGAGCTGTTTTAAGAGAATGGGAGGAGAAGAACTAGAGACGGTGGGTACAGATGAGTTTAGCTGTCAGGGAGAGCAGAGAACTAGAGCAGCCGGTAAGGCGAGTGGCTGAGGGTTGAGAGAAGAGTTGATTAAGATGGGAGAAATGATGGCATGTTGTGGTCTGATGGGGAATGATCTAGTAGAGGGAGAAAAAGTGATGATGGAGGAGAGATGAGGAATTGCTGGAATGGTGTCCTTGAGTGGATGAGAGGGGTGGCATCTAGTTTACAGTAGAGGGATTGGCTTTAGATGGGAGCAGAGATGGTTCATCCGTAAGAACAGGATGTTATGTCTGTGCTATGAAGGTGCAGGTGCTGGTAGATGGGTAAATGGGGTGGTGGGTGCCCTGGAAGTTGCATACACACGCCCAGAAGTTTGTGCTGTGACCTCCAGCTTGAAGACACAAATGTGCATGCCTGCAAGACCCACTGGAAACCCTGGAAATGAGGGCAGGGAGGGAGCGCGTGCAGGAGCCAGGTGGAGACTGGCAAGCCGCACAGCTCGTGTCTGACCACGGGGCCAGCTGATACCCAGTTCCAGCTGCTTGTGGCCCAGGCAGGAGTGTGGCCACGGTGTTACATGAGAGCTCCTGTATCTTAGCAATGAATTCAAGTATTTCCAAAACACTATGCCTGCCCAATAAAATAAAGGCTGGACAGTCCCCTGGAGTTTGCAACCTCTGCTCTACCCATGGGCGTCCTCCCCCAGGACTCCAGGCCCTGGGTCACCTTCCCAGGAAGAAGCCAAATTTCTGTTGCCCTAGGCTGGTTGTTACTAAAGAAGCTCCCTTGTTCTCCCATAAAGCTTCAGGCTGGCGAGGCCAGCAAGGGGACTGGAAAATTTTAGCAAGAATAAGCCAGCCTTTGGGAAGACGGTGCACAGAGCCCGGATGGAGACAGAGATATCGGAGGGAGGGGGGCTGTTTTTCCCATTCCCTCCCCAGAGTCCCAGTAGCCTGCACCACCCCTCTCGGCCATGTTCATAAGATTGGCCGCCTATTAAGTGCACACGGTGTGCTGGGCACAGAGGGAGGCAGTGGACAGGAATGATCCCATTTCATTCTCACACCACTTTCTGAAACAGGTACATGGCGCGGGCTACTAATGAGGGAACAGAGGCTCAGAGAGGTGAAGTGACTTACCCACAGGCACAGAGCTAAGGAATGGCAGAGCCAGGATTGGAACTGGCCCCTGTCACGGTGCTCTCACATTCTCCTGCTGGGTGAGGCACACCCAGGGGTGCCCCAGGAGAGCTGTCACAAAGAGACATCTGGCTCCACACGGGTAGGGCACACTTCGGTGGCTGACTGGGTTGTTTTCCACAACCTCGCAAGTGAGAATGGGGTTGATGGTATTATGGGTTTACAGCCCAGGTCCCAGGAACGCCCACACCCAGCCCTGTCCCTATCCCGTCATCCCATGGCTTGGGTGACAGGTCCTGTTATCAGGACAGTCGGGGAGGTGGGGCATGTGATTGTCAGCCCCTCCAGACCAAAATGGATGGAAGAGCCTGTTCCCCAAAGAAAATGATGCTGGGCAGGTGAAAACAAGACGCGTCCTGATGGAGAGAACTCCATGTGCAAGGAATACTGGATAAATGCAGTGGCATGCTGGGGTCAGCCACGCGAGCTCGTGAGCCAAGTGTTAGATTCTCAGGAAGTTTGTAAGCTGGTTGTTAAATACAGCCATTACTAAGAATTAAACTATATCAACTTACAATTAAATTATATTTAAAACTAAGGTAATCAATACTCAAAATCCACCATTCCTAATAATTTTGCTACATTTTACGGTTACCTGTGCTCTTGAGGTTCTAGAGCATACAGTCTACTGTGTCTATGGTGGAAATACTTTATCATGGTGTGCTAATGTGCATTACTTCCTAATAATGTCATGTTGGTATCTTGAAATTGGCCATGATGAGAGTATTTACACCATGGAAATTGGCAAATGTACACATCAGGGTTGTTCCTGCCCACCTCCCTCCACAAAGAGTTGGTTGCTACCCATTTACCAGCACACCAACAGACAAACGGGAAACAAAAGAACAGAACAGAAGGAAGAGCGAGCCCATCACCAATCTAAACCTTCTGACGCACCGGAGGTGAGCGCCACATCTTTGGTGCCTCATGGCACACTGGCCTTTTGCTTTCAACAGTGTCTTGATTCTGTCACCAACCATGCATGTGACCTTTTGAAAGTTACCTAACCTCTCTGAGCCTGTTTCCTCATCTGTAAAAGGGAGACACTGCTCTCATAGGATGGTTGGGTGGGGGACAACGAATAAGGTGATAGATGTGAAATTGCCCCCGTTGGGAGTCATTATGATTATTATTATTATTATTATCATCATCATCATCATTATTTCCAGTCCGTTGAGGACACTGCCCTCCCCATTGAGCTTCTGGGGCAGGAAGTGGTGGTGGCCACAGGATATGAGCTGGAGGGAGGCCCAACCTGCAGGGAGGGAGAAACCTGGAATTTTCAGGGCCCAGAGCTCAGCCCCACACAAGGTGACAAGGGGGTGAGCGTGGCTGGGAGGCAGTTTGAGGAAGAGGGTGTTTCTTTTCCAGAGAGGGCCACGTGCCTTGCTCCCAGGTGGCATCCCATCTCCCACATCAGACAAGGCCAACGGCACGGCCTCTCGTGCATGGTGCCCCCGAGGGAGGGCTCTGGTCGTCAGCCAGTCCTTTCACCCCGTCTGAACCATAGCACCAGCACATCACAGAGGATTGTGTGCAGCAGCTAGAGGGAAGGCAATGAGGGAGGGATCTGGAAAATGCATCAATGACATGAAGCTGGGAAACTACCTATTCTAGGGGCTCTTTTGGTTGGGGGAATAGAAGGCCACTCAAACTAGCTTACTTAAATAACAAGAGTGGCTGACAGTGCGGTTCTGTGGTTATAAGCAATGGAAACTAATGTAAGAGAAATAAAAAAAGGAGGCGTCCAGGTCTTTAGAAGGAAAGGAAGGAGGGGCCACCACTGGACAACTCAGCTCCAGCTACCATTCTGGAGGGGAAATGTGGCTGGGTTCTCTGGGCTCTGTGTCCATCTCTGTCCATGTTGGGGACGGGTGGCAGGGTGCTGTGATTGCAGCCCCACCAGAACCACTCAGAGCAGGGGAGCAGCTACAGACAAAGACATCATATGTCCCCGTGCCGGCCTCGTGCCGATTGGCACCAGGGCCTGAAATCCACCAGGAGCCCAGGCAGCTGCCCTCCCAGCTCCCTCTTGCTCTCTACCCCTGCCGCACACTCCTGCCTTCTCCAGCCAGCTTCCTCCTAACTGAGCTACTCAGTGACTCACAGGAGCCCCGTCGGATCCCGCACTCACGTGATGGCGCCCAGTGAACTCTTCTCGGTTCCATTTCCTGAGAAGAGGCTTGCCAGTTGGCTGTGAGTCACAAGTCCAGGGAGAGGAGAGGCAGAGCGGTAAAAGTCACAGAACTGACGATTCGATGGGTGCCTGAGGGAGGCTGCCTCTGGAAGGGACCTCAGTAGGGCAAGCAATGATTGCAGCCATGCTAATGCACAGAGAGAAA